AATGTTTGCGGTTTTCAACGCCGACGCAGTTGTTCGGACAAAGAGAGATGGAGAATATGCATTACTGCGCTAATGCGCTATTTGAATTCATATACATGCGCAGTCAACTCTTTCTTGACGGACACCCCTATAAGACGGACACTTCTGTAAGACGGACACCTGGTTTTAATCCGCGCTGTTTATCAGTCATATTACTGTAACTATACTTTCCATAAGACGGACACCTCTCTAAGACGTACAAAAACGGAGAATTGGGAGGCTCTTTATGTAGCGAAAAATACCTCAAGACGAAATGTACAAGGTGCTCTACATGACAGTAAATTGCAAAACGTTTGATATTTTGCAGTCGTGCCCCAGTTTGCAGAGTGTATAGAGAGGATATTACACGGTGGCGCGAACATATGAATTTTAATTTCGAGTGGCAAAACAATATTTTACTAACGAGCGCGGCGAGTGAGTAAAATATTGTGTTTGCCATATCTTCAAGCCGCCGTGTATTGTTCTTTTTATTATATAGATAAAAGACATCGATAAAATAATAGATTTTTATTCGCAAAGAGTAATTGTGACGGCTCAAATTTACAGTATAGCAATAAAAGACATTGTTTACAATAATCTTGAGAAATAACACTGAGCTGAATAGGGCTCTACAATGACAAAATATAAGCAAGGCTTTGAAAAATGTGTAAGTAAAATTCAAAAGACGAAAGACGCCTACAAATTTCGAAGGGAAATTGCCGAAATTACGTCATCGATAATAAACCGCTTGGGTCCTGGATGTAGTTTTTATGAATTTTACGAGTGGTATATTTTCCATTAAAACACTCGTGTCTATATAATAAATGCTTTTAGACTACGAAGTCTTGAACGTTTTCTTGTAATGAACGTTTGATCGCACAATGAGGAAATATTTCCACTTTTCTGTGGCAATTTTCCGGTTTTAGCTGTCTTCAGTACAAGTTAAACAGACGTGTATTAATAAATATTGTAAATAGCTTCAGTTTTAAAATCACTGGTGTCACGTTACCTAGACTCTCTATAAGCCGGACACCTCTCTAAGACGGACAGTCAGGGCCGGTCCTGATGTTGTCCATCTTAGAGAGAGTTTACTGTATAATTATGAATAGAAAGTCTTACCCTTGTTTTTATATCACTGGTGAAAAACAACACAAAACTAAACACATAAACAACTGACGCGAAAAAGGAACAAAGATAATACTGTTTGCACATCCTAGCATTCAGGCGATTCTTAATAACAATGAGCAGATCGCTGCGAGAAACGATTTTGCTTTTCAATATACTAATAAAACCCAAGTGGGAGCTTTGTTACTCAAAATCAACTCCCGTAAATCCTTTGGTTATGACGGAATACCACCGCGACTGGTAAAAGAGTCTGCCAATGGGATTGCTGGTCCTATAGCTGCAATAATGAGTCACTCGATTATGACAGGACAGTATCCGTCGCGCTTGAAATTAGGTCAAGTTACTCCTTTATTTAAAAAGGACGATGAACTAAACAAAAGCAATTATCGACCAGTGACCGTATTACCTGCGCTCAATAACGTTTTTGAGAGGCTACTTTCAGCTCAAATGGGCGACTTTTACCAGAACATATTGTCTGAATACATATCTGCCTACAGGAGGCACCATAGCTGTGAGACATCTTTACTTAGGCTGACTGAGGACTGGAGGCGCAGTCTAGACAATAAAGAGATCGTGGCGGTTATATCAATGGATTTGTCAAAGGCTTTCGACACCATACCTCATGCTTTGCTATTAGCAAAACTGAAAGCGTATGGCTTGCACGAATCCAGCTGCGCCCTTATCGGTGACTACTTGACGGATAGAAGGCAGCGAGTGAAAATTGGTGATACTTATTCGGATTGGATGAGTGTGAAGCGGGGCGTGCCTCAAGGCAGCGTCCTGGGGCCCATGTTTTTCAACATGTTCCTCAACGACCTCATCTTTCACATTAAGTCTGTAAAATTAAACACTTATGCCGATGACTGCCAACTGCACTCATCTGATGTAGACCCAGTGGCCTTGGAACGGCGGATCAATCATGATGTACAAATAGCAAATAAATGGTTCGAAGACAATGGGATGAAAGCAAACCCTGCTAAACATCAAGGGATGGTTCTTGGCAAAACCGATTACCCTTTCTCCTTTTTAACCACAAGATGCCTGGATCTTTTTGGAATATCTCTAGACAATGAACTTAATTTCAAGGATCACATATCCTCTGTATGCAAAAAAATAAATAATCAGTTCAGTGTCTTCAAAAGATTTGGCAAACTTATCTCATCTGAAATTATGCTTCGCCTTTATAAAGCGTTTATCTTACCCCATTTTCACTACTGTTCAATGATATGGCACTTTTGTAATTCAGAAGATTCTGTCAAACTGGACACCTTAAATAGACGTATTTTAAGATTTGTTTTAAAGGACTGGGACTCGAACTATGATGCTCTTCTAGACAAGGCTGGTGTGTGTGGTTTAGCCAACAGGAGGATACAAAATATGATGATTTGTATATTCAAATGTCTCCATTTTGGTAAATATCCATGCTATTTAAAACAACTGATCAAGTTAAGATCTACTGCTTACTCCCTACGGGGTACTAATATTTTATCACTTCCTAAGCCGTCTACAACCACATATGGTCTAAATTCCTTTAGCTATTCATCTGTTAAGTACTGGAATTCTCTACCTGATCACTTTAGAAAGACTGTAGATTATAGTGAATTTAAGCGCAAATTGTTAGTGCACGGTTTTAGTTAATACTACATTAATTAATATTATATTATATATGTTGTAACTTTTAAAATTAGTTAGGATCGGAGATACTAGCTATGTAAGCTACACTAAAATCCGAGGATAAATAAAGTTTATGATGTATGTATGTATGTATGTATGTATGTATGTATGTATGTATGTATGTATGTATGTATGTATGTATGTATGTAGAGAGCCTAATAGCTTTACACTAGCAGTATAAAAAGGGAATTTGCTTCTGCAATTAGTTTAAGATGATCAAATATTAGCATTAACAGCAACTAATGTCTTTAAGTTAAGTGCGTTCTGTTTTGCGTGTTTTGTAGTTGATGGTGGCTATAGTAATTGGAATAGTTGGAGTGACTGTTCTGTTTCCTGTGGAGGAGGGCGGAAGGCTCGTAGTAGGAGATGTAATAACCCCGCCTGACAGCATGGTGGAAAGGATTGCTCAAGTCTTGGACCTTCATTTCAGACGATTGCATGCAATACAATAGGATGCCCTGGTAAGTGTTCTTCGTATTTTATCTCGGTTAGCTTACTCAAAATGGTTAAGTATTTGATGATCATTAGCAACTTGCACGTGACAAGATTTAAACGTTGTTATTAAATATGAGAGTTTTCCATTTATAAATCGTTTACAATTATTTTCTCGATAGTGAACACACCTCACTCCTTAATCGTTCGAGTAAAAGAAATCACTTTTAAATGTCTTAGACGGGTTTTTCACCCATGATCTCTCCAGCTTGGGAGTTAGACACGGAGTTTAGGGGTTTCTCCTGTAAAAACGTACATGTTGCAGAAATCGAAAATTGTGACTTAATTAGGAAGTCGTGCCACAACATGGAGGAAGAGACTGTTTGAATCTTGGACCATCCACTGAGATGAAAAAATGCAATAAACATAAACGTCCAGGTATAGTTGTGATGTTCCGGATGTGAGGCCAGTAGAGGTGGTTGCTCTATGTTAACATACGATGTGTTCACTACTGTAGTAATTCCAAGGAGTCAGGCAGCAAATTGTTGTTTGCAGGAAACATCTATGAGTCGTAACTGTTCATCGGTAGGATGCCTAAGATGGGTGCAATTGCACGATTGTTTTCGGCTCCATTAATTTCTACACCAATTGTAGAATATCTTAGGAGGGATTTTAGGGATTTCAAATCAGTCTCGGCAGCTAAAATATGTGTCGGAATGAGTCATATAATGAGGAAATGAGATTTGTACTGGTCAGTTATTTAGAAATAAACAAGTTATATAGTACCGAAACTGACCCCAAAAAGCCCCATTTGGAATAAACAGGCATTACTTGTCTTCTGATTAGTCGATGGTATCCGGTTTCCAATATATTAGCGCTGAATGAAAGCAATCTAGGCGCGTTTATTTTTTCCATGATATTCATATATTAGAGTGAGAAGAAAAAATGACCCGTTTACAATTTTGTCTCAGTGTTGTTTATTTTCAAATTTCTGGGATCTTTCTGTCGCTATTTGTATTTTCAGTTTAGGTCAATAGGTAGATACGTCAATGTGCCAAAAACGTTTGTCTGATTTAGCGCTTCTTTTTGACACGAAAAGGAGCTATAAGTCGATATAAGCATCAAGTCAAAAATTATGCAAGCGTCGCAATTTTTTTTTGAGATTAAACAGAGTTGCTGAAGTGATGAAAAGGTGGCTCATTACTACTCATCATTCAATTATAAGTTCTTCCTTTTATTCTTAGTTAATGGAGGCTATGGTCCGTGGGGAAAGTGGAGTGACTGCTCTAAAACTTGCGGAAAACAAACAGGCACCAGAAGACGAGACAGGCTGTGTAACAATCCCTCACCGCAGAATGGGGGCAAAGATTGTTCAGAACTAGGAAAGGATACTGAGACTCAAAGTTGCAAACCGAAGAAAAAACGATGCCCAGGTCAGCAAAACCTTCAATGGATAAATCTGTTTGCTCACGTCAATTCGACATTTCACAAGCTACAGCGGAAAGGATGGGAACACAACATAGCGATTTTCATGGGAACCTCGCTGTCTGGCACCTTATCAATCATTTTGTAGTGTTTGTTACGTTAATTCCCACAATCATATAATGACACGCGTCAGACAAAACACGGACAGATCACAATCATTAACACACACAGTACTCCCTTTTGTACCACAGAAGGATTTGATTTATCTTTTTCATTCGTAGGTCAAACTTTGTAAGGTTTTAACTGTAATTTTTGTTCGAACATTTTTAGTGGACGGAAACTGGAGCCAATGGGGGTCATGGAGCGAATGCTCTGTCACGTGTGGAGGAGGCCTCAGAAAGAGGACACGGAAGTGTAACAACCCTATTCCCTCAGGAGGGGGAAAAAATTGTGAAGGAAGCGCGGACGATTCCCAGCAATGCAACAGTTTCGTTTGTGGACGTGAGTAAATAGTTTTAAACCTTCTGTTAACTGTTCTGTCCGAAGCAACCTACCGGCAAAGCAAATGGTAACAAATGTTCAGGACAAACAACAACATTCGTTGTGATTCTGCTATAGTTCCTGAAGTCGCTATGACTTAAGGGGCAGTATGTAGCTACTTAAGAATTGGTCGTCTTTTCATGTAATTACTCCAGCAAAATATATGTCGTTGTCGTCGTTCGTTTCCATCATCCACAAAACGTCGCTTATAAGAAAATCTCAGTGACTGCCAAGAAACTTACTGAACGAAGAAAAAAAAAATGAGAGAGAGGGAATGGCCTAGGCAGTCCAGCCCTTGGGATATGTTAATTTTACCATTTGAAAATTATTTTTAGACCAATTAAACACTCTTTTAGACCATGGATTCAAATCCCATTTTAAAGCCACGAAATTTTTTTTCTGTTAATTTTAAGCTGAATGGAAGATAATCGGATGCTATAAAAACGTTGATCAAGCACTTGACAAACTATTAGCGCGAGTTGGGTTCAAACCGAGCATAACTGCGAGGTACACGACATGCACATCAGCTGCTGATGGGGTGAACATCACGCTGTTTGGTCTGGACAACAAGAGATGTTGGACCAGTGAAAGCGATTACAATTCATATAGCAAGTATGGTACCTCAGGAACATGCAAGACAAATAAGTTGGGAAAGAGTGGAGGCTTCTCTGAACATGGGACGATATTTGTTTACCAAAAGGATCAACAAGGTGACACAGACTCCACCTTAACATATGTAATAGTTTTATACTCAATAACCTTATAAAACAGTGAACGCCGGTAATATTGCTAGTATTTCTAAGAAACTAATAATTTTATCTGGTTACAAGATAGATCAAAAGTTTGTACCGTGGTCTCAACCATCGCCTATTAACATGCGGTAATGGGTTCATGATAACCGTCACGAATATAGAGATATTTAGTGACCACTTAGTGAACTATGAGAACGTTGATGTAATTGTTGTAGTTAGTGTAGTTGGGATAGTTAGTGTAGTTAGCGTAGTTGCTGTAGTTGGTGTAGTAGCTGTAGTTGGTGTAGTAAGTGTAGCTGGTGTAGTAGCTGTAGTTAGTGTAGTAGCTGTAGTTGGTGTAGTAAGTGTAGTTGGTGTAGTTGATGTAGTTACTGTAGTTGCTGTAGTTGGTGTAGTAGCTGTAGTTGGTGTAGTTGCTGTAGTTGGTGTAGTAAGTGTAGTTGGTGTAGTAGCTCTAGTTAGTGTAGTTAATGTAGTTGGTGTAGTTGGTGTAGTTAATGTAGTTACTCTAGTTGCTGTAGTTGGTGTAGTAGCTGTAGTTGGTGTAGTAAGTGTAGTTGGTGTAGTAGCTGTAGTTGGTGTAGTAGCTGTAGTTGATGTAGTTAGTGTAGTAGCTGTAGTTGGTGTAGTAAGTGTAGTTGGTGTAGTAGCTGTAGTTGTTGTAGTTGATGTAGTTACTGTAGTTGCTGTTGTTGGTGTAGTAGCTGTAGTTGGTGTAGTTAGTGTTGAATTGCTGGGGTGGAAATGATGCTGAGAACACGTATGATGATCATGGCGTATCCTCAGAATCCTATGTCAACAACCAAGGCTATGGCGTTGGATCGGAGATAAATGGAGACATGTTTGTTTACCGTTATCACTAATAATGAGTGAGGAACATTCTATTGGGCTGTAATTTTCATTAGTTATATTTCTGAAAAGCAAGCTTTATCGTGTTTTAACACTTTTTAACATTTTACTTGTCAGATTAAAGAAGCTTAAAACTCTGCATACATAAATTCCTTTCGTTTCAAAACACTTTCATACTTTTTACCTTACGTTTCCATTTAGCTGAGCACACGTATTTGAGTATTTTTTTATTTTTTAACATAAACGTTTCCAGTTAAACACTTTAGAGGTCGTCTTAGAGTAAACGGACAAAAACGAACGTTTTTGAAATAGTCGACTTCATGCATGCTTATTTGTTATGCGTTTCTAGTGGGTAAACTGTCGAAAACCTCGATAAAAAGCTAGTGATGAACGCGAAGAGACCTTTCGTTTCCAGGTTTTAAGTCACAAAAACGAGCTTAGTTGCAACTAGAACAGCGATACTTCAACGTCAGTTTCTTTTTTATGTACAGTTGTTTTCACTCGCTAACACTGTCAACAAGGACCAACTGCTTATGTTCTATCTGCTTATGCATAATCGAATTTTTTTTGTATATAGAATCACAATTTCCCTTTCAACGGAATCAGCTTTTCCTCTTTTTCAATCTGTTTATACTTAATTATCTAATACTTATACATTAATTGGGATGTTAATTTACATCGTTATTCATCTTTTGACAGATGACGAGCTGACAGATGATGAAACTACGGAAACAACCTACATTTAATACTGAAGAAACCGCAAGAATTAGAAAATTACTAAAAAGAACCTCGGGGATAGTTGTGTAATTGTAGGGTTCGGTTAATTAGGTGTTGTCTTGGCGGGTTGGTTAACGGCAGCTGTATTAGATTTATTAGAAAAGGGAACGATATTAAAAAAGCATTGTAACAGTTCATGTGGAAGGTTTTGTTTTGTTTCACCTTGGTTGGGATTAAATTGTTTACCATATATTGCATATATTCCAGACCACTTTAGTTTTGGACCAGGGGTCAATTTAATAAAATGTTTACAAGTGTAATTTACAAGTGTAGCTATTGTTCTCAGACACTTGTAAACATTTTATTAAATTGACCCCAGGTTCACGCTCCGAAGCCATGTAAAGGTTATTGCGGTTTTTGGATCAGTGTGCAAAGTTAGGGTGTCTCTCTTTACTGTGATGCACGTGTTATTGGTATAAATGTAGTATTAACCCTTAAACTGCAAGTCAGCGCCATTCGGTACAGGATGTATGCTCAATGTTTTATTAACAACATGTAGAGAGGTTAATGAAAAACCTTCTCCCCCCTCTCCCTGCCTTATTGAAGTCTTGATTTACAACTTTAGGAACATCTTTCCTTCGTCCTTTTTTAGATCAAGTTGTAATCTGACAAAAACCAATGCACCCATAGCTGTAATTTAAACCACATTAAATAAAATTTATAGTTAAACTTAAGAGAGACTATTCTCAATGACCAGGTCTGACCAGGTCTGCCGGTGTGATTTCTAGCATACACCCAAAAACTTGCCTTTCTTATCGGACCTTATGGGTATCACAAGTGGTCGCCTGATTCATAGTTACCAGTTTCGAAAAAACTGACTTCTTGTGCGGAAATGGAAATTTCAGAACAACTCCGCGCATTTTTCTTAATCATACAAACCCGAAAACTACGTTATTTGTCTATTCGGTTTTGTCACCTTCAGTTAAAAACCAAGCTATTGTTCGCAGACGCGGAAATTAGTGCTAATCCATCCAAGGGCTCCACACGCCTCCGAAATTATTGGGATTAGCTTTTGGATCCACTGGCTTGTTTCTTGGAGGCACCATGGTGTTTTTGAATTCCTCGAGCCACTGCAGCATTCGGTTCAGAACATCGGGGTTGTTCTTTGCTTGGTTGACATACTCGCAAGGATCGTTTTCAACATCAAATAAGCAAGGCCCTGCCTCTTTTGTGCAACTAACTGGGGGACTGGGTGGCTTAGAACAAGTGACGACGGCATTTTTCAACGCTGCAGCTCTGGAAGTTTGATTTGAGGTGTCAAATCCTGGAGGAGGATACCATCCACTCCAAGCGGTAGCTGTGAGGTTAGAAAGGGCAAAAAGCACTTCAATGAAAATAAGCAGTACATTCTCAATATCTCGGATAGCCAGCGAATTTTTGACGCGGTATGGATTTGATTTAAGCCTCGAAATAGCTTCCTACAATGGTAGAAACCAGTCTGGGTAGAAACACAAAAGACGTCCATAAAACACCAATAGGCCAGGGACACATGACTTAAAATAAAAAGAATAACAATAAAAAAAATCATGTTAAAACGACAGTCGGGTCTTCTCACAGCAACAAATGCAATTTTAATCGCTCAACCCATTACTTTGTTGACATTTTTGTTTCTTAAGTTCCCATATAAACAAAGTCTTTGATATACTTACATATATTAACCAGCAGTTTCCAGTTTCTGAACCGGTAAGCTGCAGCACCAGTCATCGGGTCGATGTTGTGAAGAATTTCCAGCCGAGGCGACACGGTAGCATCAGCGAGTGCACCCCACATGTCAAGGCCGTCAACATTGCGCAGGTCATGAATATCTCCTCCTGCTGCAGAATACAGTGTAGGAAGCCAATCTGTCACGTGCATCAACTGCATGCTCACTCGGCCTGCTGTTTTTGAAATCAGCGGACTGTGCATAAACCCGGCACCACGGACACCTCCTGTTGTCAGTTAAAGGAAAAAAATAAGTTTAATGGGTTAGCGGGCAGAATAATATGTTATTTGTATTTAATCCCAGCTTTCTTGAATTTATTTGTGGGCCTATAGCTCATAGCTGTGGTGTACGTGCGATAGACTCTTCCACGGTTTATTCAACTTTTGACTGGGACCACTTAGCAAAAAAATCCGTCAACACGGCTAAAAAGAACGCATTAATTATAAAATTACTAAAGACACTAAGTTTGAGAGTGATTTGTTGAAAACTAAAGAAGATATAGCTACGCTTCATCAAAACTTGAAAAAACAGAAAACAAAAACAACAAAAACAACAACAACAAAAAAACAAAAGGGTCCATGGCATACTCTTCCCAATCTTCCTCGGCCTTCAATCAAAGATGGCGACGGTGGGAAATACTGAGCGCGCGCTCGCTGGCATTGCTTTGCTCACCTTCCCAAAGCGTGTGCTTGATACCCCTCAAAGGAAAGTTACAAGCGCTGTTCATATCAAATCCTGCTGCTGGACCACCGTTATCAGTTGAGAAGACAATAACTGAGTTGTTGTACAAACCGCTGGCTTTAAGTGCATCAACAACCTGATAAGAAATTATCAAAAGACTTCAGGGAATTGTAGATACAAAGGCAGAATGTTCAAGGAGCTAAAATTTGAAATCCAGAATTTCACGGATCATGGATAATAGAAGGACTGAATTAAGGAAAATAGGGGCGCGATCCATTCAACCAAAATTTCCGGAAATTTCGGTCCAAAACTCAATGGATCGGTTCGGTCCAACCGGAAAAGTTTCGGAAAAACGGGTCCACCTTTTGAGGTGGACCACTTTTCCCGGTCGGACCGGTTGGAATTTTGTTTGAATGGATCGCGCCCTAGCTGACGTGATCGGTTCCAACATAGTGGAAAAATGTGACGTCACACCAGAGAGAACCATTCAACTTTACACATGTTCCGCGCTTCAGATTTTTCCCCATATATTTCGACTGGTTTGTGCCACATTTTCGCCATCGTTTCGTCACAAATTTCTACTATGATGGAACCATTCTACGCCATCTTGGAGACCAACCAATCGGTGATGAGAAATCCGTCCACGTGACATAAGTTTCCCATCCAGTCTCACCACTATTGTGATTAGTCAGTCATCTTTCAGTGGCATCGTGTTCCACTCCCTGATTGCCCTTGTAAACTGCCAATCTCCAGTTGTTCAGAAGGTGAATAACGTTATCCACTGGATATTTTTTAAACCAGTGGATAACTCAATTAGTTTCCTTAGTAAATATCCAGTGGATACTAATTCATGGTTCCTCGAAAGACGATTAAGTTTAACGCACACGCCGACACAGTTAACGAAGCCTCGCACCGTCACTGCTTCTGGTAACTAACAATAGGCTTTAATCCCTTATTACATGTACAACCGACCCCTCCCCTAAAAAAATGGAGAGGAGGCGGCTGTACACAAGCTAAAGTTGGCTTCCATATCGTTTTCCTTACCTTTCCTACGCCCTGATCAAGAGAAGATACCATGGCAGCAAAAATCCTTCTGTTTTCATCTTCAATATGAGAAAACTTCTTGATTAAACTCGGGGGCGCTTGAAGCGGCTGAATAAAGTTTGCGCTATGAACTGCTTGGAACGGAAGGTACAAAAACAGCGGCTTAGAAGGATCATGCGTCTGAATAATATCCACGGCTTTTTCTGTAAACAGCTCTGTACTGTACTGACCCCACTCTGTCTTTACGGCCTGAGAAAAGGGGAATAATCGTTCAGAGAAGGATACGGAAAGAGACCCACTGGCGATATCGAGGCTGCGCTTGGGACTGGATTAGTCACGCAACGCTCATCTGGGGAGAAGCGTTGCGTGACAACACAAACAACGGCTGTGTAGCAGACCACAGACTGGGCGGTGTTGCCGATCGAAAAATGCTATATTGGAATGCTTGGGGGGGGGGGGGGGGGAAAATTTTGCCCCATTTTTCCCCACCCCCTTGTAGCAGCCATTAAAAAAGTTAATATTAAATAAAAAAAGGCCCCCAACTAAAGCCAAAAACCAACCCCATCAAAGCACCCGCCTGATTTTTGTGATTTGTTTCATTTTTTCTTTCTTTTTGAATTAAATAAATATAATTAATAATTGGAAATATTAGGCAGAGAAGAGAGAGAGAAAGGACCCCCCGGGGGAGGGGGGGGGGGGGGGGGGGGGGGGTTACAGCCCCCCCACCCTCGGGGGGGGGGGGGGGGTGGGAAAAAAAAAAAAACCGGGGGTGGGAACCACCAAAGGGGGGGGGGGGTGTTGAAAAAAAAAATTTTTTTTGGGGGGGTGGGGGGGGGGGGGGGGGGCAAAATTTGACCCAGTTTCTCACACCACCTTGTAGCAGCCAATCAAAATAGTGATATCATACACAAAAGAGTCCCATACTATAGGCCAATACGCACCCCATCCAATCAGCCTGCTGCTATTTAGTCTATTGTCTACTATTTCCTTTCTATTGAAGCAACAGAACTTCTATAAAGCTTACTCACCTCAGTACCATTGCGAAAGTCCAGACCCTGTCCGGATATTGCTAGGTTTGAGTGATCCCAATAATCTTCTTTTCCACCCCAATAACCAAAGAAAGAGTCAAATCCTCTCTTGGTGGGTGTGTAGTCAGTTTGAAAGAATCCAAGGTGCCACTGATAAAAAACGTTAGAGAAAAGGAACATGCAAACAAAACCTCCAGGACCAACCTGTTATGAGGTAACATCTGTGTAATGTGTAATGTGTAATGGGTTCACATAAACTCTCACAAAATGACATGTACAGTCAACCCACTTAAAGATGGACAGTGCTGTCTGTCCTAACTGTCAGTCTTAAGGTGCTTTCCATTTGTCAGAACTGACTGGCCAGACCATTCCAGTCATAATGAGAATTTCACTTCTAATCAAACTATCCAGTCAGATCCCAAATAGCATGCATGAAGGAAATGGTGTTTCAACAAAAACTCTGAAAAAAAAGCACTTTTCATTGTCAAAATGACTGGTCCGGATATGATCAGGCCAGCCAGTTCTGACTTTAGGAAAGTGCCCTTAGAGTCTAAGAGGTGTTCTCTTTATTGAGGAAGAGGCGAGAACCAAAACACAGCCAGTAATTCTCAAACTTGGGAAAAATGTAAAAACTGGAACACTGTGATCCACGCAGGGGAACAAAAATATTAATAATACCCTGGGTGCCAGAGACTTGCATACAAGAAAAACACCTCTGGTACCCAGGGTAGGGAACAAAGAGTCAAGTACCGTACATGCATTTGCTTATGTAATTTGCTTCCCCAAGTTCAAATTTAAAGTGATATATAGATATCCACATTACTGTATTTTTAACTACCCAAACCACCTCTAAAGTCTCCTCTGAAAGTTTGAAAAGTGTCAGTGAGGTGTCCGTCTTATATGTAACTGACTGAACAAAAAAAGGGACCAGCACCAGGGGTGCAGACAAACCACCAGGGTAGAAAACTTTTGCATAAGCAAATTAGAATAAAATTTGACGGGGTAGGAGAAAAACCCGCTATAAAAAACACAAATCCAAATCTACTGAACAGACTAAAATGAGTAGAAAAACTGCATTGCCTCAAATCACAGCCCATGTTTCCTGAACCTTCCCAAACAAAATGGCACGAGACTTTTGCTTTTCCAACCGGAATTTCCAGTTTTCTAATGTAAATGCTAAGTACCCCAGGTGACCCTTTCATAGAATGAGGTGGCATTCATTCAGAGAGCTGACAGAATCAGAACTCTTCTGGACCTTTACTCATTGTTAACCTTTCTAAGTTCAAATCATCATGGAGGGTATGTACTACAAAAACCAAAACCCCAGATACCTTTCCAACTGCATGTGTGGCATATCCCAGCTTTTGAAGATACTGAGGCAAAAGAGTCTCATTCAAACCAAGTCCATAGGGTTGAGATATTTGAATAACACTATGTTGCATACCTGGAGACATACATATGTGCAGCATAAAATATACAACAGTGGTAATACAAAAGCAAAGAATAAAATACAGCTGTAGATAAATTCAGCTAACCAAATTTCTGATGTATGGGTAGGTGTTAGTGCATTCTTTGTTTCATTTGAAACACTTTTTGTTAGTGTGTGGGTCACATTTCTGGATTATTTCTAGAAATGTGCACTATTATTAATTTTACACCCATCGCCAATAGATGCGTGTGGGGAAGGTGCCCGAGTAAACTCAGGGAGCCACAAGCGAGCGTGAAGGCAACCATGAGAACCCTGTGAGCGGCAACCACTAGGCACCGTCACACCAAGGACCTCAGTGGAAAGTTTTCAGATACTTATCAAGACCCACCCAGAGGGAGGGAAGGGCTGAGAGCAAGAAGGCTTTGACACAAGCACAAGCAAAGGCCATGCATGCAAAATGACTTGACCTCTGAAGGAGTGCAGCTGTAAAAATACTGGGGCCCTGAAAAAGCCCTAGGCCCGCCCTACATACGATAAGTAACAGAGACTGCTGGCCAGCATTGTCTTGTGTAATTACATTTAGCCACTTTATTACTATTATTATTATTATTATTATTATTATTATTGTTATTATTTCTTTCTATTATTATTTTTCTCACTTTTCTCTGTTTGATTCAACAGTGCTAATTCATATTATAGTTTGAAAGATTTCTTCCCCCAGAAAGAAGTTTTGACATTAAAGTTATCACCGGTGGTTTATTGTTATTAATGATGTCACAAGCAGCACAAGCAAAATGAACCTGCATGAGCATTAATGGGTCAATGGGTTAAACATGAGCACCCCATTCTCTAATCAGGGTAGCGATCTAACATTATCTTAGTAACAAACATGAAGTTTCAGCATGCAAAGAAAGTTGTTTCCGATAGCCTGTGGCTGGTGGATTTTGCAATTGGGCTAGTGAATCCTGTTCTTAACTTGCCTAAAGGGCAAGCCAGATGTTTGGGGGGAAATTCAATTCATGCTGCACATCAAAAATTTTTTTTGGGCTACTTAAAAGACTCTTGGGCTAGTACATACTAGCAACAACTTGCCTAAATGGCAAGCGGTAAAACCGACTTTCTTTGCACCCTGTAAGTTTTAACCTTGATAAAAATCGCAGGTCATATAATTTTTTGTTTAAATTTCATTACCACTCACCTGTGTGGATGGGGTATCGACCAGTCATGATAGCACTGCGGGTTGGTGTACATATGTGCTGCACATAATAGTTATTCAGAATGATTCCACTGTTTGCCAGACCATCCAGGTTTGGAGTTGGGATCTGTGGTGAGCCATGAAAACTTACATCATCCCACCCCTAAAAGTAGTCAGAAAACATAAAGACTTGTTAGCAAAATAATAGTGAAATAAAATTATTTTATCACTAGGCTGCCATAGCTGGTTTTTATTTTGCAAAAAAATTATAACTTTACCCCATTTTTTTTCATGGAGCTTTGTTGCTCGTTTGCATGCACTCCAATCCCCAACAAATCCATAAGCATACACACTAAACTAAAATTTGCCTTTTACCATTTTTTTCCTTATTCAGCATTTTGAGGGCAGATTCAGTTGTTTTATGTTCAAAGGTGTCCCCCCTTAGAAAACTGGGGCTTAACTCATAGCTTCTAGAAATTTTGCCCAAAAACACCATTTCAAACTAGTTGGGTTAATTTTTGGTCACTGTCTGGCCAAAACAAACCAAAACTGCCCAAAACGCTGTTAATAAAATGAGCATTTATATAATGCAGCCTTCTGTTCTTGATGCTACATATCAGCTTGCAAAGACTGTCCATGGGCAGATTTAACAAAATGTCAAGATAGTTTTGTGGGGGAAAAAGTGACACTGCAGTCTTGACTTTAACATTTCAATTACTCCCTTTCTTCTTCTTTCTTTTTGCTTTTGCTGTACACACTAAGCTTCACTTCCATGGAAAAAGTTTTTGTGAAAACTTTAAGGATCCTAGGATTACATGAAATTAAGTGTAAGTCATAGTGGGTAGAAAGTTCAGCAAGACTTCTCTTAGGAATTATTTTCAGGCCAACTCCAAGTAGTTTGCATTTTTTATCTGACCTGTTTGACTGAAACATGCTCATTCCATTATGGTTTGCACAAGCTTAATGTTAATTAGTTCCCTATAATATATATGATGATATCCCAAGTAATATGTACGAGGGAATGGATGCAAATGGTAGTTCAGGAGTGGATGAGTTAATCACAAATGGGTTTCATTTGCATGTATAAAGCTGCAAACACACTAGTCTGGGGAGGGGGCACTCCCAATAATGGCCTATATGAGGAAGCTCCATTCAAGGGACTTTTTTTTTAGGCTATAGGTATTACCGTATATCAAAGGAATTGATGATCATATGGATTAAAAATAAACTGTTTGAATTTTTTTAATCAAATCCCAGCAGTAAACTGTTCAGTAACACTACCTTATTAAAGATAGATGCTAAACCATCTCAGCACATAGTATTATTTCTTATTGCTCTCTCAAGATCTTAAAGGACAAGCCTTGAGGCGTCCCTTGAGATTGTGTCCAGATAAAGGCCAGGGGTACATGTACTTGCCAGGAAGTTAACTGATACAAAAGTCATTAGAAATGATAGAACTTTGACCCCAAAGTAGAGGCCTACAGCTGTAGCAAGAAGTAATAGTGTCAAAGCACTGATATAGAAGAGGCTCAAATAAAATAAACTTACCAGATCATCTGCAAGTATAAATATAATATTTGGAGGTTGCTTAGCGTCCTTAGCTGTAGATGCTGCACACAGCATGGCCAACATCAGCACAAACCAAGCCATCTGTGGCTGAAATCAAAAACATTACTTTTCACTGTAAATTGCACAAATTATCGAAAAATTCCAGCTAATCTAAACTATCACATGTCGTGATGCTGATCAAACCAGCCAGTTTTGTGGGATTTCTATATCATGTTTTTGTTGGTCGCGAGTCTTTGGATGTTCGTTACTGTTTTCTGTCCAAAGCATGGCGTGACAGGCGACGTTTGACGTTATACCATCTTGACCTTTCATACGGCTTTTGAGGAAAATCTCCACGCGTTATTTGGGTCTGCTGCTTCTGGAGCTGAAATACACTTCAACATTATCTTGTCGACGATTTTGTGAAATTTACTGAGAATATAGGACTGCCGGCCATTTAGTGTTTTGAAAACCTTGACCGGCAGACGAGCTGAAAAAAGTTCTAAGTGTCACAAAACATGGTTTCGTCCTCTGAGCCCAGCGTAAACCAAACACTAGACTTGAGATCTGTAAAGCATTTCAGGATGCTTGACTTTTCTAAATCGACACATGATAGTTTAGATTAGCTAGAATCTTTCGATTTTGTGAAATTTACTGAGAATGTAGGACTGCCGGCCATTTAGTGTTTAGGAAACCTTGACCGGTTACCGGCCTTATTAAAAAATCCAGATTCTTATACGCATTAAATAAGGGGTGGCACTGGTAAATTTAAGTGTAAAGGTTAATCACTATTCCAGTATGCAAAAGAACGCAACGAATGTCTTATTTTCGTACCTGGTAACTTGTGGAAATGAGAACTTTCATCGCAACACTCAGCTGCACCAGTACCCTAATAGGCCGAGTAAAGGAAACCAGAGGAAAAACATCAAGAGGTGAAAAACACATGTCAGCTTCCAGTCCTCGCGCGTTGGACATGTGATTAAGGCATGTGACTGGTGTGTGACTTTGTCACTTACATGATGTTCTCCTGCGGCAAACTTCGCTACTCAAGAAAGAATTAAAAACTGTCACAGATAAGGTAAGACGTTCGGAATTGGAAGTTTTAGCAGGTAAAGCTTTGTATTAACTGCAGTTTGTGGAGAAAAGGAAGGAGGTCGTCATATATCAGCCCGCCACCATACATATGCGTGCGTTCTGGCATTCTTTCCTAACTTGTTGACTAAGATCTCGTAGACTGAACTACAAACACATCCCAAACAAATAATGGTGAACTCAATTCAAATTGATGTTTATTTATGTGCTTCAAGCAGTCAGCTATAACATGCCACACCTGGCCCAAGGGCAAGGTTCAGTTGTTCGAAAGTGGGTTAAATCCTAACCTCGGTGGCTTAATCCCAGGATAAATTTTAATCGCAGGTTTGTTGCGGTGTTCAAACACCGGTTAGCTCGAACCTCGGGTTGAACAGCGGGTTAAATTTAACCCTACTAGCTAGGTAGCTTAAATAACTAACCTTAGGTTAAATGATAGTGAAAGCAATGTCAAAACAAAATGGCGGCCTTGTCACAGTTTACAGTCTATTAAAACGACAACAGAAAGGACTCACAGATTGCTCAGACAAATGATAAGAATTAAAAATTTTACAATCGAAGAACTAAGGGCAAGCTACAGGTTTCAAAGCAGGTCAATCCTCCACCAGTTCTTTTTTGTTTTTTTTTCAAAAGTTTGTGAATTCAATAAACTTTGCAGAAGAAATGAAGATTCCTCCACTTCCCTTGGACTTCGCGGATTAAGTCTCTTCTCCACTAGCTCGTACAGCGTTGTGTCTCTGTTGTTGGTGTCCAATTGTTTTGCCTTTCGTTTGTCACACTGTTTGTCAACCTACTTTGGGAAACATGCAAGTTTTCTTCCATTTTCTCGGTTAAAAAGGCCATTTCCTAGGCACTGAAATTATTAATTTTTTTCTGGGATCCTCCACCGACGTCGTTTTAGGACATAACAAATCAAGAGGTGTTATGGGATGCTAAACGCAAGTTAGTTGTGGTAAAATAAGTTAACAAACCTGCGGTTAAGAAAGTTAACCTCTGGTTAGGCTTAACCCAAGGTTAATTTAACCCATGTTTCGAACAACCTGACCTTGGAGGATAATCGTGAGAGGTCACTCACGAGCTGCACACAGAAGGAGACGTGACAGCAAGCGATGTGAAAAGAAAGGGAAAGCTGTCAACGATCTTTGATCAATTTTTATTTCTACCCCAGAAACTGTATGAAACTGAAAAGTATAAAAACCTTCACCAGAAACAAGAAATGTGACAGCCCGCTGTCTTTAGGCCAGGTACATGTATGATATAGCATATATGTGCTGCACATAATAGTTATTCAGAATGATTCCACTGTTTGCCAGACCATCCAGGTTTGGAGTTGGGATCTGTGGTGAGCCATGAAAACTTACATCATCCCACCCCTAAAAGTAGTCAGAAAACATACAGACTTGTTAGCAAAATAATAGTGAAATAAACTTATTTTAACACTAGGCTGCCATAGCTGGTTTTTATTTTGCCAAAAAATTAACTTCACCCCATTCTTTTTCATGGAGCTTTGTTGCTCGTTTGCATGCACTCCAATCCCCAACAAATCCATAAGCATACACACTACACTAAAATTTGTCTTTTACCATTGTTTTCCTTATTCAGCATTTTGAGGGCAGATTCAGTTGTTTTATATTCAAAGGTATTCCCCCCCCCCCTAGAAAACTGGGGCTTAACCCATAACTTCTAGAAATTTTGCCCAAAAACACCATTTCAAACTAGTTGGGTTAAGTTTTGGTCACTGTCTAGCCAAAACAAACCAAGACTGCCCAAAACGCTGTTAATAAAATGAGCATTATGCAGCCTTCTGTTCTTGATGCTACATATCAGCTTCCAAAGACTGTGATGTGCAGATTTAACAAAATGTCAAAATGTTTTTCGGGGGAAAAAAGTGACACTGCAGTCTTGACTTTAACATTTCAATTACTCCCTTTCTTCTTCTTTTTTTTTTTTTCTTTTGCTGGACATACTAAACTTCATTTCCGTTTGAAAAGTTTTTCAAAAACTTTAAGGATCCTAGGATTACATGAAATTAAGTGCAAATCATAGTGGGTAGAAAGATCAGCAAGATTTCTCTTAGGAATTATTTTCGGGCCAATTTCAAGTAGTTTACATTTTTTATCTGGCCTGTTTGACTGAAACATGCTCTTTCCATTATGGTTTGCACAAGCTTAATGTTAAGTTCCCTATGATAAATATGATGGCATCCCAAGTAATATGTAAAAGGGAATGGACGCAAATGGTAGTTCAGGAGTGGATAGCTTAATCACAAATGGGTTTCATTTGCATTTATAAAGCTGCAAACACACTAGTCTGGGGTGGGGGAGGGGGGGCACTCCCTATAATGGCCTATATGAGGAAGCTCCATTCAAAAGGGACTTTTTTTTNTATTTTCGGGCCAATTTCAAGTAGTTTACATTTTTTATCTGGCCTGTTTGACTGAAACATGCTCTTTCCATTATGGTTTGCACAAGCTTAATGTTAAGTTCCCTATGATAAATATGATGGCATCCCAAGTAATATGTAAAAGGGAATGGACGCAAATGGTAGTTCAGGAGTGGATAGCTTAATCACAAATGGGTTTCATTTGCATTTATAAAGCTGCAAACACACTAGTCTGGGGTGGGGGAGGGGGGGCACTCCCTATAATGGCCTATATGAGGAAGCTCCATTCAAAAGGGACTTTTTTTTAGGCTATAGGTATATCAAAGGAATTGATGATCATCTGGATTACAAAATAATAAACTGTTTGATTTTTTAATGAAATCCCAGCAGTGGACTGTTCAGTAACATTACCTTATTACAGATAGATGCTAAACCATCTCAGCACATAGTAAATTTATTTCTTATTGCCCTCTCAAGATCTTAAAGGACAAGCCTGGTGTCCCTTGAGGTTGTGTCCAGATAGAGGCGCGGGGACTGTGTACTTGCCAGGTAGTTAACTGATACAAAAGTCATTAAAAATGATATGAACTTATATTAGACCCTAAAGCAGAGGCCTACAGCTGTAGCAAGAAGAAATAGTGTCAAAGCACTGATATAGAAAAGGCTTAAATCAAAATAAACTTACCAGATCATCTGCAAGTATAAATATAATATTTGGTGGCTGCTTAGCTACAGATGCTGCACACAGCATGGCCAACACCAGCACAAACCAAGCCATCTGTGCCTGAAATTAAAAACATTACTTTTCACTGTAAGTGCTCATATTGTTTGTTTGTTTTATTTGCCACACAAAAACAGAAACTACAAATAATTTAAGATAAGTAGAAACAACCTTGGCAAGGAGACCTAATGGAAACTATAAGAGCTTATGAAAGAATAGGCCTCCTCGAACTATGGGCTAAAACTGTTTACATCAGTTGAAGAAAGGAGGGCGAAAAGTCAAAAGAGGAAATAATTTAAGATCGGTTTTCAATTTACTTAAATCACTCACACCTGGAAATTTTCCTGAAAAAAGTATTTTGAAGCTAGTCAAGCGCTATTCTTGTCATTGTCGTGCTATAAATTAGATCTAAAACTTATCATAAAGCCATTTACAGGTCATACACTTCACGGCCTTCTGATCCAGATACAAAATATTAGCTTGTGAAGTTGGGGCACGTACAGAAAGCAACATTTTAAGATTTTGGGTTATTAAAATGTTTTTTGCGTTAATTTTTTTTCCGTGTCCTTGACTGAATTGAGCTCAATCTGGTATGGTTTGGGAGATCTTTTCACTCTGCATCAGTTAGCAGACAAAGTTGTACTTGACCATTTAAACTGATACCGTCACAAGCAGTAGAAGAATTAGGGACATGGATCTGCACAGTTGGTTATGGCCGGTTCACGGGCAAATGGGTTATATATAAAAATTTAACCTGTAGTATTTTCTTTAAGGAGGAGAGGGTTTGTGGGTTGATGACTTCCTCTTCAAGTCAATTAAAAAACTTGGGTCTTAGAAAAGAGCTGAGAACTTCTTAGTGTTTGTTGGACAATAGGGTTACACAGTAGGCTTGGGAATTTCTTGTATTGTAAGAGTGAAATTGATTGCTTTGGGAGAAATTGTTATTAAACCACTGAGTATATATATTGTCACTGTCTTACAAGTTGATTTTGAATTAGAACTTATTTTAAGTATATAATACAGTTGTAAGTAAATAAAAAATTTCTCGGCAGTCTATAAAAGCTTGTTTTTGCAACTTAGAGCTGTCAGTAGAAGGCTTTTATTTTCTGTCTGCAAAAAAACTTTTCATACCTTTTTTTTTAACTCAGTATGGTAGGAATAAACATAAGTTGTCAATTAAAATAATCAATCAAGAATGGGTTGAATCTGAGACCACGAAATTTTATTTTAAACTTTTTCAACTTTATTTAAATTTGGAAATATAACAAAAAAAAAAGAAAAAAATACATTGGGACTGGCCTGCAGTTAGCGAGGCTATTCGAGGCAGGCCAGGGTACATAATTTACTACAAACTAGACAAATACAAAGAAATTAGACGTTATATAACTATATACATTTTAAAGTAAATAAATACTATTCTACTTAAATGCAAGGACAATATTAAAGTGACATTTTAAAAATAAAATAAAATGAAAATAAAGGATAAGAGAATTACTTTTTCATTTTCACAATAATCATATCCACATCAATATAAGAATCTTCAGTTTGAAGGATATCGAGTAGCATTGCTTTTAGTGATCTTTTAAAAGCTTTTTTCGAACCTACATGTACTCTTCAATTCTCTGACAAATGAACGGATTTTGTCCTAAACAGGGTGAGAATTTCCGCACCTGCCTTTATTCTTTAGCGCGCCCAACCAAAACTGCCATGCTACACAGGCCAGTTAGCCTTGGATAAATAAAAAAATATTCTTCTCGTAAATTGGCTTATTCTCATGCTGGCAGTGCTTGTAAAAATCGCTTATTCTGCTCAAAATTCTGCTCGAACACCCTTATTCTACTCAAATTCTGCTCGGTATCCGAAAAATTTTTCGGCCATATTTATTTTCACAAATATAGAAGGGAACCTGGGCCTAACCCCTTAAAACTAATTAGATATTGTAATTCATCTTACTTTTAGTGTGAATGCATTGTAGCTATTTAATAATTGAATTAATCACAAGGTATTTTCCATTTGTTTTTTATATAGTTTTAAATTTTTCTTACAACTGTTATGCATATCATTAGTGCCGCTGACTTTCCCTTTAATACTCCGCTCAAATTCTGCCCGAAAATGCCTTATTCTGCCGGCAGAATGCTCGCCTCAATAATCGCTTATTCTGCTCAAAACTCTGCCAACAGAATTTGTCCAAGCCTAAGGCTAGTGTGTGCTGTGTGCCCTTGGAATACCAAAGGCAGCCCTGGTTGAAGTTTTGAAACCCCCAACACAGAACCAAGTTAATTGTGAACCTAAAACAACCTCATAAGAGTCAACTGTTTTCCATCGGTTTATAATTCAGGTAGTAATACATAAAGTACAGTGTGAAAGTAATACGAGAAAACTTCTGTTGTATCATTTATGTAAACGTATACATGTAATGAACAAAATTAAACGAGTGCAATGATCTTATGTTTATCGTACACTTGACGTCAATGCTCCTTGATTGAAACGCTGACATAAAAGTATTATTTCTATTTGAAAGGAGGATTTGTAGCATTGGTAATGTCAACTTTTTCCCATTTGTAACTGCGGTTTCGGTATTTGGGTAAATTGTGATACAGTATTGCGGTATTCTCGTGCTACCATGTGTGGTATTGCGGTACCTCCCTTATGCCCCCCTCTGAAAACTAATACAGTCAAAGCCCACGTATAAGGACCTGGGTTTTAAGAACCTGTTAGGCTTAAATTTTCATTTTAAGCCCCCTCCACATAAGAACCTATTACGGCTAAAATTTTAAGTTAGGTTCTTATCAGTGGAGTCGCTGTAAAAGTGTATCAACTTTGAAATGGCATTTCAGAGAACTGACTATGAGTTTGTTTGTTATGTTTTGTTAAGGACATACCTGGCCTGCACTGTACTGCCTTTAGGCATTACTGTATGGTATAAATGATTTATATTGTATTATGAGATGATTATAATACACTTAGATGAAATTCAAATGAAAATATAAGAACCTATTTTAAGAACCTTGGTAGTCTAAATTTGCTTTAAGTACCATTTATTTAAGAACCTGTTCAGGCTAAATTAAAAAATCCAGATTCTTATACGTATTAAATAAGGGGTGGCACTGGTAAATTTAAGTGTAAAGGTTAATCACTGTACTATTCCGGTATGCAAAAGAAAGCAACGAATGTCTTATACCTGGTAACTTGTGGAAATGAGAACTTTCATCGCAACACTCAGCTGCACCAGTACGAAACCAGAGGAAACTAGAGGCTTCCAGTCCTCGCGCGTTGGACATGTGATTAGGACATGTGACTGGTGTGTGACTTTGTCACTTACACAATGTTCCTCTGCAGGAAACTTCGCTACTCAAGAAAGAATTAAAAACTGTTACAGATAAGGTAAGACGTTCGGAATTGGAAGTTTTAGCAGGTAAAGCTTTGTATTAACTGCAATTTGTCGAGAAAAGGAAAGAGGTGGTCATTCTTAAGAGTTGCACTTTATATCATCCCGCCACTATACATGCGTGCGTTCTAGCATTCTTTCCTGACTTATTGACTAAGATCTTGTAGACTGAACTACAAACACATCCCAAACAAATAATGGTGAACTCAATCCAAATTGATGTTTATTTATTTGCTTCAAGCAGTCAGCTATAACATGCTACACCTGGCCCAAGGGCAAGGTTCGGTTGTTTGAAAGTGGGTTAAATCCTAACCTCAGTGGCTTAATCCCAGGATAAATTTTAATCGCAGGTTTGTTGCGTTGTTCAAACACCGGTTAGCTGAAACCTCGGGTTAAACAGCGGGTTAAATTTAACCCTGCTAGCTAGGTAGGTTAAATAACTAACCTTAGGTTAAATGATAGTGAAAGCAATGTCAAAGCAAAATGGCGGCCTTGTCACAGTTTACGGTCTATTAAAACGACAACAGAAAGGACTCACAGATTGTTCAGACAAATGATAAGAATTAAAAATTTTACAATTGGAGAACTAAGAGCAAGCTACAGGTTTCAAAGCAGGTCAATCCTCCTCCAGTTCTTTTTTGTTTTTTGTTTTTTTTCGAAAGTTTGTGAATTCAATAAACTTTGCAGAAGAAATGAACATTCCTCCACTTCCCTTGGACTTTGCTGATTAAGTCACTTCTCCACTAGCTTGTACAGCGTTGTGTCTCTGTTGTTGGTGTCCAATTGTTTTGCCTTTTGGTTGTCACACTGTTTGTCAACCTACTTTGGGAAACATGCAAGTTTTCTTCCATTTTCTCGGTTAAAAAGGTAATCTCCTAGGCACTGGAATTATTAATTTTTTTCTGGGATCCTCCACTGACGCCGTTTTAGGACGTAAACAAATCAAGAGGTGTTATGGGATGCTAAAGGCAAGTTAGTTGTGGTAAAACAAGTAAACAAACCTGCGAATAAGAAAGTTAAACTTTAGTTAGGCTTAACCCAAGGTTAATTTAAATGTTATTTCTGACGAATGAGCCCGCGAAGAAGACAGAAATAAATATTTTGACAGCACGAGATACAACAGGGCCTGGGTACTAGGCCGGGTGCACCATGGGTAGCCATATCGGGGGTATATAAGGCTGCGTATATCACGTGTACGTCATCTAGGCTTACGAACCACCCTCTCTTTGGTTTTTCTTTATTTTTGTTTTATTTATTTTTAGGAGCAACATATTCTCGATGACATTGTAAAGTCCCGTAGGAAGGGCTTTGAGCTTGAGCCTTGGTTCCTACCCAGATTTCCTGCCCGCATTTTTTCCCTTCGGGGTTTTTTTGGGCAGGTTTTTTCTGGCCTCCGTCTGACCGCATTTACTTCAGTTTGTAAGCGGTAGCTCAGCTCTGCTAGTTTTCAGTTTTTTCCCGTTTCTTATTTTATGTACTTGTACAGTTATCTCAGTTTTGCACCTGCTCCTTTACTTGATATATTTAGTTTCTATGTATGTCTAGGTCAGCTGTCCAGGAACCGCTCTTTAGGAGGCGACATAAGTCTCGTTTGATGCAGTTAGGTTGCAGGCAATGTTACAGACTTCTAGCCAGGGTCGTTATCCATTTGTTTACTTTCAATGTCCTGCCCTAGCCT